CCAATATTAAAGAGGGATGATGCTCCTAAAGTCACAGTGCCTCACCTGAATGGGTGAAAGAGGACCAAGTGAGGGATTGCAGTGTACTTCTGGGTTTTTCCCAGTCCTGATGCTGTGCTCCTGACTTGGACATTCCCCTGGAGATTCTCCAGATCTGACTTCAGCTGCCTCAGCCCTTGATACCTGAGATGAGTTGGAAGCTGCAGCAGTTTCTCCAACAACCTGTGCAGCCTGTGCTCTGGCAGCTTCTTCAATTCTATCTGCTGATTGTCGTGTCTGTATTGGGAGTGCAGCAGCACCTTCTTGTGCTCCTGCTCCAGCTTCAGGCCCTGCAGTGTTGGCTCCACACTGAGCACCAGCAGAAGAACCTGCCTCTCCCGTGGCCTGAACTCCAGGCCCTGCCTCACATGAGCCCTGTGACTCGCCTTTTGAACCACTGCTCCCCTGTGGAGACTCAGGTGTAGCTGAGTTGGTATTCTGCTGTGTCTTTGCTTCCAGCGATTGATCCCAGTGCTGCCCAGCTCCTTCCTCATCCTCATCTGAGTCAATGTGTAGCATGGCACTGAGCCGTGTGTCTGTGGGAAAGCTGGAGCTGAGCTTTGGTAATGGCCCTGCTGCAGGTCGGTCCCCAATGCTCCTGGGACCTTCGAGGGAATCTAGGTAGTCATTAAGTGACACCTGCCTTTGGGTGAAGCTGCCAAGAGCCACAGGAAGCAGATTCACCTCTCCCACTTGCCCAGGCTCCTGCCACACGCTGTCATCGCCATAGTAACATGAACCATTAACATATAAGGAGCCCTCATCAGAACCAATGCGAGAAGGTCCACATGTAGCACCTAAAGACGAGGAGAGCTGATGGAGATCTTCGTCGTCAGAGGGACTCCCAGGGTCACCATTCATCACACCACCCAGGATCGTTCCCAGAGGGTCTGGCGAAGCTTCTAGAGCAGAAAAGAGGATGGATGAGAAGGAGAGGATGTGACAACTGAGAGATAAATAACGTGTGCTTTGTTGACATGTTAGCAGAACAAAAACAACACCTCCCACTTCCTCGTCTTCTTTCGGCTGTTTCTGTTAGGGGTTGCCACGGGGGAACATCGTATTCCATCTCGCTCTATCTCTAGCATCCTCCTCTGTCACACCAATTCTTTGCATGTGCGCCTTCACAACATCCATGAATCTTCTCTGTGGTCTCTGTGGGTGCTGGTCACGCCCAGAGAAAACCTTAGCATCTTCAGCTCTGTCACCTCCAGCTCGGCCTCGTGTCTTTTTGTTACTGTCTCCAAACCACTCACCGTGTAGACCAGGTTTCGCTACAATCTTCTAAACGTACTCTTTCCTTCTTGCTGCTATTGTAACAAATCACACCGTGACACCCATCTCTATACACTCCACTCTGCTTGCCCTTATCTTGTTCACCGCTCTTGTGTACTGTCCGTGGCTTTGGAAGGTTGACCACAGGTACTTGAACACACCCTGCTCCTCACTATTACGCCTTTCTTATTTACACACATGTATTTTATCTTGTTTTCACTGACTTTCATTCCTCTTCTCTCCACAGCATGCCTCCACATGCATGTGGCATGTGGATCTTGGTCATTTTTTTGGCATGTTTTTATGGCCCTCGCAGTGCTTTTGTTTTTACATTTTGCAACACACCGCTGCTGCCCAGAGTTCCACAGGAACTCAAGAGGAGACATCAGGCCAGAGCAAGAGTTAAAACAAGGAGAAGGGAATATAAATCCCCTGTTCCATCAGTCATCATAGGGAATGTGAGGTCTCTGACTAATAAGATGGAGCTGATAAAACATCAGAGGCAGTATTGGGAGGCAGCTTATTATGCATGGAGGCATGGCTGCACTCAGTGCCACCGGCTTCGTCATCTGGCCTTTTCACTGCTCGGGCCAACAGAGAGGCCAAGCTGAGCAGTTAGAGGAAAGGTGGAGGGATTGCAGTGTTTATTAATGAAAGGTGGTGTATTCCAGGATATGTTACTGTGAAGGAACATCTCTCCTCACCTAACATTAAACTTTTAGCTGTCAGTTTGCACCCATATTATTTATCGCAGGAATTCTCCTCCACTATATTAACTTTTTTTTGTACCACCATCAGCTAATGGTGCAGCAGCGTGTAACATCATACATGCAACTGTTGATGGCCTATAGTGTAAACACACAGAGGCATTGATCACCATCAGTGGTTATTTTAACCATGTCAGTCTAGACTCCACTCTGCCAACTTTCCAGCTGCATGTGGACTGTAAAACACAGGACAAACGAACAGTTCTCTCTACAACTTCTGTTCCCTTTCAGTCGATTCACTCGGTACAACACATAAGGCTGGGACATATATACACGTCCCGCAGAGCAGCCACCGAACTGGAATCGGACCACCACCACCTTAGTGTGCAGCAGACCAAGCAGACAGGACAGTATGAGCCACCGAAGGGGCTGTAACATCCAATCGATAAAACCAAAGCAAACCAAAGTGTGCGAGTGAAAGTTCATATCCACAGACTCAATGGGTTCAAACGGGGGCTACAAACGGCCTCCAGCACCAAAGATAAGTCCAAAGCACCGACACGGGACTTAAGCACAGGTCTCAGCCAGCGAACCGCTTTCAGAAAACATATGGCAAAAGGATGTGCACCTGGTGTCACCCCATCAAAGCCAACATGACAAGCAAATATAGCCGCTAGACAGACCTTAACTGTCGAAAATGAAAGGCCCGTATTCAGCAGCTCCTGCAGGAATGTCAAAACATCCACAATAGAGCACTGAAATGAGTATGGAGGTCCTGGCACCATTGCTCGAAGGCTCGCCATTTGTAAGCGTACACATACACACCTTCTTGTCCAGCTGAAGTGATGTCCACTCTGAACATAAGCTGCCCGCTCACATGGTCCATAGGAAGACGACGACACAGGCTGTAGCTGACTGTCTGATCACTGCACACACATAAACAATTGTTTTGTCCCTACTGACAAACACCTACTAGCATTTCAATACGGTACAGAAAACAAGCTCTCTTTCCTCAGCACACTGATCGCAATTCAATCAACAATCAACTGACTGGATGGGTAATTGTGCATCAACTACATTCTGCTGATTTATATGCAGTTTTCCACAATGGGGAATTTATTGGCAATTTCTGTGCAACTTGCCTGGAGACTGACAATTGTTGTTAACACTGCACAAACTGTATGCCATCATTGCTTACTTAAATTAATGCCTGACCAGCAAGCTGGTTGGGAATTATGGATAGGTACTGACTGAACTACATAACTACTACCCTCCAGAGAAGGTTGCTCTTTCTGTCTTAAAGAACAACCTTCTATGAAAGAAACGTAAAAAAAAAAAGTACAACACACGTGACACCGTCACTGACGCTGAGTCTGACTGACTTTCCTTGCACAGTTGTTTTGTCCTTTACCTGTTTTTGGTTCTGAACCCATCTCATGTTTGGCTCTGCGTGCCAACTTACTCAGCAGCTGGCCGTTCCAGAAGTCTCCGGATGGGGATGATCAGCTGGCCCAGGAAGCGCTTGATGATTGGCCGACTCTTGGCAAACTTGTCCTTCACCTCAATCTCCAGCACATCAGTTATCAAAGCCACAAATGTATATTTCTAAAGAAAGAGTAAATAGCAAAATGCTGGAAAGTTTAGTATGTTTATACAGTTGTGCTTGCATTACATAAAGTTAATTATTGACTCTGCCCAGTGACTCTACCTGGCCTACCACTTCTCAGTTGCTGTCGTTCCTAATCATTTCTACTAACAGTTGACTGCAGAATATTTAC